TCTATCTAGAGTATCTAAAATACAAATTTTTAATAAGACATTTCCCTTTCTTTTCATAGTTAGATACATTCCCAAGTAGAAATGAATTTATCAATTCTAGTTTTAGGAAAAATCATTTTCATATATAAATACATAATTTTTTTCTTGTGTGATCCAGCAAGTCATGTGCAACTCTTTCGCGATGATAACAGCAAAGTATATTTTGTATCTACTAGTTTGGTAATGAGTAATTTAGTTTTACTGAATATGTTCACGTCTCCTTCATTTTCACGAAGAGATAAAGAAAGAAATACAAATCATAATCTAATCTACTCTTCAGATGAGATTTGGAAATGTATATGTGTTTAAAATTTTTTTTGAATGTACAATCTATCCTTTTTACTTTCGTTAGGTCGTATGCATCATTATTGGGAAATTGTGTGCGCATTGCTGGTCCGTACAGTTGATTGGGCTCGTCAGCTCAATTGGTTTGAAAAAGCCGGAATTGTTGATGATGATTCAATTCGACGTGATCAAATTATTACTACACGTCTTTATATCGTTCTCTATTGTGCATCCATATTTGGAGTGCTTTTGATTACTACAGTGCCACAGCAAAAGGTATCATTTATCGTTGACAATCCCTCCCTGACTGCCTACGAGCAGCTTCAAGCAGATCAAAGTACTCTTATTTGCTCGTGTTCGAACCTCGTCATTTCATATTCGGAATTTATTTCTCTCACTCAACCTACTTTACATCAGGTATGTTCGTCATCGTTCGTTAACTCAACATGGATTTCGGCTATATTCGGAGACACAACCGTGAATCGATCGATCAATCAGGCTTTCCTCAGTTCACATTTTCGGCTCCTCAGTGCCTTCTGCCTCGCGTCACAACAAATACTTGCAGATGCTTTGAGCAGTTTTGGATCAACTCAATTGATCACTATTACACTGCTACCACGTATAACCCTTATCGAACAGATGAATGCCACGCTTATGCAGTTTTATACACAAGCGCCTACTGTCTACAATCGCACGCTTTCTTTAATTCTCGACATTACACTGGGTAATCAAGTAATGTCTGCTTACGAGTCGAATTGGTACGTTACAGCGGGAATTTATCCGTTAGTATCTATGATATCACGCAACTATGGTAAGTATTACTTTTTTCCTTCATCAGATGAACGCACCTTGTACTTGTTTCGATGATAACTAAATCAGGAATGATTATATACTTATACTGTATAATCGATCCATCCGAAGTTATGTGCCTTAGTAAGACGACTATTATGTACATAGCTGTTGATAGTTTAGAAAAAAATGGGATTTTTTTTTCTACTTTTTTCAAGCGCATTACATGCTGGTTTTTCTGATCTTTTGTACATAGTACTCTAAATTTTCTTGATTCTTAATCAGACAGACAAACGCTAAATAAGTTTATAAATGAGCATATTAGAATGAGGGAGAGAAAGTCCAATTGGTAGGAAATATGAAGTACGCAGTTTCTATTTGTGAAAGATACAAGAAAAACAAATTACGGCATATATCATTTTGACAAAAATACAACTGCTTTACGATTATAGCTATGAGAAGATTTGTCAGAACATTCATCTATTCGTAAAAATCTAGGAAATTTTCGTTCTAGGAAACTGCAGTTGTGGCTCCTTGAATGCATCCAACTGTGTGACTCCATTGATGCTCAATAACGATAGTATAACTGTAAGTGGAATGTTTATCGGCTGTTTACCACTCAGTTCCCTTCTTCAATCATCGTTGTCATGTTTCTACGACGATGATTGTCTTCTGCAAGTTCAAACAGCTGTCAAATTGAACCTTGTTGCTCCCAACCTTACAGTATCAGCCCTTAACTCAACTATAATCAGTCGTTTCCAATCAGATACCCCAATCAAAAACATTATCGATCTTCTCTTGGTAGAAACATGGACATCAGTTGTAAACTATTCAGCTTATTTCAATCAATGTGCCGCCAAAACGTGTTCATATTCATTGGTGCGTAGAAATAGTGTTACTGTTACTATTACAAAATTGATTTCGTTATGTGAGTATAAGACTTTAGTAGAAGTAATTTTTATTTTTTTTATTTTGCGTTTACATAGATGGTGGCATGACGGTAGTCTTGCGATTAGTGGCGAAATTGATAGTCAAGATAGGTCGTGCAATCGCAAAGAAGATAGCAATACGTCGGCAAAGAATCGTGGCTAATGAAACTCATTAATGAGTAGAACAATTTACTTTCTATCAGTTTATAATGGCTTAATTGTATGCTTTTAGATACAGAGAAAGTAGCAAAAATGACATTGAACTTAGATTATGAAAAGATAATAATCTCTGTATATTTTCAGCTTATGTGATTAATGTGCTTATCAAAGTTATTATTTATGCTTCTTGATGGTCATATATTTAAAAATAAAACGATTGATTGATGTATTCTCAGTGTTTCGAAGGCGTGCGTGTGGCTCAAGAGAAGATAAGTCTATATTCACACCCACACCCAGGATCCATGGAGAGATTGAATGTTCCTTATGATACCCTGGAAGTTTCGGCCGAAACTAATCGTTCTTTCCTGACGTACTGGATTTTCAAAAAAATGTTCAGAAGTCGAGAAAATATAAGAAAACGTCAATATCTTGGAAATTGAGTATCTCAGAAAATAACCGTCTGTTTTTGCTGAAACTTCGAGGGTATTCTAAGAACCATCCGAACTCTTTATAGGCCAAATTATATGGGTGAATCCGTGGGAATCCTACCACGTTTTGGAAAAAGTTTTTTTTTTCGATTTTTTTTTGACAGAAAGTCCTAAGCGATCCAGAAAACGTTATTCACCGAAAAAAAAAAAACTTTTTTGTTGAAATCTTGAAGTTCTAAGTCGTTTTCTCGGAACATGTATATACGTATTACATATTCGAGCCATCATATCAGTAGATGATCTACTAAATATTCAAACATCCTCCAGATGGTTATACCATTAGATGCAGCTTTTCATGCTGCATCTAATGAGCATGCTTGTAAACGTCTTTGGTAATTTAAAAATTTCGAAAAACAGCAGTTTTTTAAAAATGAATGATTTCTCATGATATGAAATTTATCATATTTTTTGCATGCTTTTCCCTAAAAAAATGACTTAAATTTTTTTAAAAATATACAGTTTTGTAGAGCTCGACGAGTTCTATCGAACCATATATAAATCACGAAAAAAACATTTTAGTCGATTTTTGCATTTGCTACATCTTACATGTTCCAAAAAAACGACTTAGAACTTGACCATTTCATTAGAAATAATACTTATTTTTTTTTGCCAAACCACGTTATCTACAGTCCTTTTATCTTTCTGAGATAAAAAGTGATAAAAACCTTTGGTTTGAATATTTAGTAGGTCATCTACTGATATGATGCTGGACCATGTAATACATATATACATGTTCCGAGAAAACGACTTAGTACTCCACGATTTCAACAAAAAAGTTTATTTTTTTTCGGTGAATAACGTTTTCTGGATCGCTTAGGACTTTCTGTCAAAAAAAAATCGAAAAAAAAACTTTTTCCAAACCGTGGTAGGTACCCACGGATTCACCCATATCTGAATACTCCGTTCCGTTAATTCAAGAGCTATTCACAATTTGTTTTTTCAAGGACTTTTGGAACACCCTGTAAATTAAAAGCATTTTTCTCAGCATAGTTTTTTCTACGTACTACTTATATTCAGTTGCGTAGAAGGTGATGAATACAATTGAGCAGCGCGTATAGTAGTCTATAACGGCTTACGCTAGCCAGCTGTTCTATATGAAAGAATACTCAGTAAATATTCTACTGAACTTTTTTCCACAACAGTTACTCATTTTTTATTTTCCATATATTCTATAGAATCAATAGTTCTAAAAGTATTTTTAAGTATGATAAAATGCATTTACAATTTTAGTCTAAAAATTCTCTCGAAAATAGAAGTAGACTTACACAAAAACAGTTATATTAATTGTGATTTCATTTGTTGTTTAGCACAACCTATGGGAAATTTTTCTTTTTTTCTATATTTTATCTTTTCAAACAGTTCATATCTAAGTAATATTATACTTATTACTCGGAAAAAAGTACGGCACCACGTAAGTTACATCAAGAAAATAGAATTTATAAAGGACAGCTGCCTATCGGTTAAAATAGTGGAAAGAAAAAAAAGAGTATTTCATTTGTATTCTATTCTTTGTTGTAGTGAGAATAAAAGTAACATTTATCATACAACTCGAGTACTACTAGTTCATAATTGAATAATCAAACAAAGGTAAGTTCAACTTATTATCCACAAATCGCTGTCCATTCACTCAGATAAAACTTGTTTTCTTCCTGATAAAATGTTTTACTAATGTGAACTATCTTGTTTTAGTATTTCATTTAAAACATTGTACTCTTTGTAAGTAAGAGAACATAAATTAACTCTTATCGTTGCTATGCGCATTTTATTTCTCGAAATAAAATTATTTTCGAGAACACTTGTGTTATTTTATCATTGACAAGAAACATATCTTTGCAGTTTCTATTAATGACTTTGAAAGAAAACTTCTAATATATATATTTTTTCTTTTTCCAATTTATATTCAGTAAACAAAAGACTTTGTCATATATTAAGTTTCATAAAAGATGAACTGACATCTCTTTTAGAAACGTAATCAAAATAGCAACACCTATATTGATTATTTTCGATTATCAGAAGTTTCACTATAAAAAAAACTAGCCCATTAGATAGTTTAGGTGTGAGTATGTTATGGTTAATATACTTATACCACACCCACACCCACACCCACATCCTTAATTGAAATCATTGATGATTGTTCATATTCTGTGTAGATGTTTAACGATTTTATGGATATACTTTCAAAGCAACTTTGGTTGAAATCAATATGGTTGTTTGTGTAAGAGAAATGCGAGTTCGATGCCGAGGATACTTAAAAAAAGACTTTTTTATTAGATTTTTGTTCAAACAAAATGCAGCGTTGAATATTTGCCCAATGTTAAATTGGTCAATTAATGCAACTACAGTTGCTGGTTCACCAAATGGCATTAGTGGCTCAAATGCATCACTATTATCTAATCCATATGATGTATTTATTGGTAACAACAGTATGATTTACATATTAGACAATGGAAATTTTCGAGTTCAACTTTGGCTTCGAAACGCAGTTGTAGGAACGACAATAATTCAAGGCAGTGCTGGTAGTGCACTTAATCAGTTCGGTTTAAGTAAGTTTACTGTTAGATAATTATTCTTAATATGTACTATTTCATTCATAAAGTGGCCCAAATGAGTATCGATATAAATGGGAATATTTATATTCTTGATCCAAATAATAATCGTGTTACAAAATGGGCTCCAGGAGCTGGTACTAGTTCAATCGTGGCCGCTGGAAATGGCAAAGGCAGTAATGCAAGTCAAATCAATGGGGCTTATGGAATGTATGTTCAAACAAGTACATCAATTATTTGGATTGCTGACACAGGAAATAATCGAATTGTCAAATGGTCATCACCATCAACGAGTACTATTGTTTGTGGTACATCTGGTTCAGGAGCTACTCAATTCTCCTCTCCAACAGGAATATTCATCGACGAAAATGATCAAAATACTATGTATGTAGCAGATACATTCAATCACCGAATACAACAATGGAGATCAGGAGATACCAGTGGAAAAACTGTTGCAGGACAACCAAGTGTTCCAGGTTCTGCACTCAATCAACTCTATTTTCCATCGAGAGTTATCGTAGATATAAATAAAAATATGTTTATCGTTGATACCGGAAATAGCCGCGTCGTCCGTTGGATAATTGGCTCCAGCTCCGGTACAATCATTGCTGGCAATTCAGCTGGAGGAATATTACCGAATCAATTGAATTTTCCAACAAGTATAAGTTTTGATTCTGATGGCTCTCTTTTTGTTGCAGATTCACAAAATCAGCGCATCGAAAAGTTTTCTATTATTTGCTGTAAGTATCTCGACTATTAAGATATATAAAAATTTTCCGAGTTTGTAATTTGTGATTGTTGACGGTAGAAGTCTGATGAAAGGTTAACAGTTTATTGACGGAAGCCGACTGATGAAAAAATTGACCAAATTTTAAATTCTTTATTTTTCATAAAAACGGTTCTTTTCGCCATGAAATTTAGTAAGTACAACAACTTCAACATCATTCGTACAATCATCAACTCCTAATGCCGCTGTAATTGGTTCTTTTTATCAAAAATCGTTGGCAATGATTTTGATTGTTTTGACCATATACAATATTTGATCAATGTTTTCATTTCTTCAGAGCAGTCATCCTATTCCGTAATGTTGAACATTTCAGGAACTAGTTCCGCTCCGGAATCGATTCCGTTCAATTCCGGGAACTCGATCGACACATAATATCCGATACCCACTCGAAAATTGATCGAGTTCCGTATAATTCCGGAATTGGTAGGAATTCCGTATAATTCCGGAATTGGTAGGAATTCCGTATAATTCCGGAATTGGTAGGAATTCCGGAATCGGTAGGAATTCCGTGTAATTCCGTAATTAGAAGTAGTTCACGCAATTCCGGAATCGGTGGGAATCGGTAGGAATTCCCAGGAATTCCGTCCAATTCCACTGAATTCCGTCTTGGTGCAATTCCCGGAATTCCGCAACGGAATTGGATCGTATTCAAACGGGATAACTTATCAGCACAATACAACAAATGTGGGTGAGGTGGATGGTGTGATAACTTATCAGTACAACACAATAAGTGTGGGTGAGGTGGATGGTGTGATTCCGGTGCGGAATTCCGGAATCGGAACCAATTCCCGCAATTCCGGAATCGGTGGGAATTGGCGGGAATCGGTAGGAATTCCGTGTAATTCCGTAATTAGAAATGGTCCACGCAATTCCGGAATCGGTGGGAATCGGCAGGAATTCCCAGGAATTCCGTCCAATTCCACTGAATTCCGTCTTGATGCAATTCCCGGAATTCCGTGACGGAATTAGATCGTATCCAAACGGGATAACTTATCAACACAACACAACAAATGTGGGTGAGGTGGATGGTGTGATTCCGGTGCGGAATTCCGGAATCGGAACCAATTCCCGCAATTCCGGAATCGGTGGGAATTGGTAGGAATTCCGTGAAATTCCGGAATCGGTCGAACTCGATCAATCTCGACTGGGTGTCTTATGTTGTGTGTCGATCGAATTCCCGGAATTGGACGGAATCGATGCCGGTGCGGAACTGATTCCTTCAATGTTCAACATCGCGGAATAGGATGCATTCTCTTTCTTCAATATATTACTATAAGAAAGATAAACATGAGAGACTCAATTTTTCATGTTGTCCATTCAAAATAATTATTTTACTTGCTTTATTCATGTATTTGCTTATCAAACCTTATTTTAAATCTCAAATAAATCTATAATATTCACGCTCACACACACACCCTGTTTTATTTTTCAAAAAAAGGTAGTAAGAAGAACAATAGTCATGAATACTTTTATTTTCTATTGTCTCGACTTATTTGAATTTTTTTGAGTAAATTCTCCGCTTCAATGAGTTCTTTGTTGTCTTCTAAGCTATGAAGTTTCAATTGGTCGACATATTTTTTCGCGAATTCAAATGCTTCATTGAATTGTCGAAGTTTTTCGTAGGTTGTAGCAATATTCTTATATGTTTTAGCAAATGTTATATGTTCTTTTGGCAATGCTTTCAATTCAATGTTCAAACATTTGAGATGATTTTCTAAAGCTCTATCATATTGTTGCAATTTATAATACATCGCACCAATATTATTATATAGAAATGCTAAAGCAGGATGTTGTTCAGGCAAATGTTTATGTTGCTGTTCAAGCGCCTTTAGAAATACTTCTAATGCCTGTTGATGATTCTCTTGTCGATCATAAATATTCCCAATACAAATATAAGTAACAGCAATGGATGAAGGATCTGATGATAGACCGGACTCAATAGGTGTCGTTAGTAGTAGCTCTAATGCTTGATTATATCGTTCCAACGCTTTATTCCAATCTTCTTTTCCACGATAAATATGACCGATAGTATGCAAAGTATGAATTAACGATGGATCATTAGATTCGCACAAGCGCTGACGAATATTTAAAGCTTGTTTATATAAAACTAAAGCTTCATCTTCATGCCCTGATGCCATATGTGCCTTGGCAACATTACTAATATATATTGCTTTTGTCAATGGATCAGGTGATTCTAATTCGTTTAGAGCTTTCAAAGCTCTCTGATAGAATTCTAAGCTTTCATTGTATACACCTTGTTTGTAAAGCATATTTGCTACATTAGCATTGCTATCAGGAAGTTTATGAAAATTCTTGGCTTCACTTTGAGCATTAAGAACACGTTCGAAAAATTCTAATAGAGTCGTTTGTATTTGTTGTGTTTCTTTCATTAAATTCTTGTCTTTTTCACTAACAGTACTTAAATGAACCATCCAAATACCATCATTTTTTTCTTTATCTTCTACATTAACAATACGAAAAACAGTTCCAGTCGAAAAAAGAACTTCTTTTTCTTCTTTATGATCACTCCAACGAGATATATCAGCAAATGGACGATCCATTCGATCAGCATCAATCTCCATACAAAATACAACTGATTCACTTTTGGATTTTTGTTTATTTAAAGAAAATAGTATAGCTGTTTTTTTGTCCAAAGTAGTCGAAAGAAAACTATCAAATGCAATTAAATTATTGACTTCAGAATGTATTGTTTTCTCGAAATCATCCAAAGACATACTTAATCCACGATAAACAGTAAAAACACGCGTTGCTAACGATGGTTTATATAAACTATGCATTTGTTCCAACTGCATATGTAAATCTTTGATGAAAAAATGAAATTTATATAATATTGATATATCTTGTGTCCGAAATGCATTGTTAAGCATTCGAAATAGAAATGTTTCTCGAGAATACCTAAAACATACACAATAAATTAGAAAATCGAAGGTGAATTCATAGGGAGTCTGTTGGCGAAATTCGGGAATTTCAAAATTTTATCTTACCACCAGATTGCTTTGCCAGCATGATATTTCGTTCTTAATTCTTCGACATATTTGAGATTTTGAATACTGGATTTATATATATTGGAACAGAAATCTGCAAGTTCTAATCGTGCATTATTATTGTATTCAATAGTAAAAAGAAAATCACGATGAAGTTGTGAACAGAGAAATTTAATTTGGTTTATTTCGTTTTTTGAATCTTCTGATGTTGTAGAAATAGGAAGGAGATTTTTTAATGCTTGTTCGGTATCTTCTTTTAAACGAGCACATAACGGATCGATTTCAATGAAAACAGCACGTATTTTATTAGACTGTTGAGTTAATTTTGTATATTTTTGTTGATCTCGACAAAAAATATAAATAGAATTCAATTTCGGAGAATCGATAATTTGATTTGTAGAGACAAGTTTTTCTCCAAGTTCACCCGATACGATTAAATAAATTTGTTGATCTTGAATTTGTTCAATAAAATTCTTAACATCATTAATTTCCTGAAAAGTAACTAATGAATTAACAATCGCACGAAGTTTTTGTTCAGAATCAGTTGTATCCTGATTTTGTTGGATAGTTTTATCCAACCATATTAAAACGAAACCTTCCGCTTTACTTTCTATTGCTGACATTGACATTGAAGATGAATCTGTATACTTCATAGAAGCTTTTGTTTCTCGATTGGATTCCACTAATGAAGAATAAATTTTCATTGAATTGAAAGAGAAAAAAAGTTACGAACCTGCCGGATTTGAATATGTAATTGGTTCAGTCGTGTATTTCGACTTTGGATTACTAGTTGATGATTTTATCTGTGGGAGTAATAGTTTTAAATAGTCAGTTAGTAATTGTTCGATTCTAAGACTAGCTGCTGATGAAATCTTTGCTAAAATAAATGTACCTATAGTTAATCTTGATTTCGAAAGCAATGCTTACTTTTATTATCTTCATTCATAATTTTTGCATCAACAGATGAATCCGTTTGTTTTAATTCTGTTATGGTATTTTTCGATGACTATAATAAACAAATCATATTATCTAACAAATGTAACAGTTGAACAATACTTTGATGTTATTTATCGGTTGATCATCCTAGAAAGTCATCTGTCAATCTATTTTATTTATTAAATTATCTTTCTTACTTGTTGATTAACTCCTTCTTTCGTATTATGATTCTCATCTTGCTTATTCGATGTCTAAATAAAAAACATTGATATTAATCATAATCTTTCCTTCAATTACTTGAGCGTTGTTTGAATCTACGTTCGAATTATATTTAGTTGATGAAGTATTTGGCAATGACAACTGTTTGTTATCATCTTTCTTTGTTATGATATTTGATTTAGATTCAGTTAATAAGTTTTCTTTGATAAATTTCGAATTTAAATTTGCCGATTGAACACTAGGATGTGTAATATCATTTGTATAATCATCTGGAATTTCGTTCGAAAAAAAATTCATCATCTCGAGAGGTTGACAACTAAAATAAATATTATAGCAAAGCAAAGAAATCTCATCGATTTATATTATCATACATCTCGCATGGTATTCCTCCAGTAATTGATTGAAGTTGGCATGAATTTCGTTTTGTATGAAAATGAGATTGATTAACGAATCCATATTCACAACAGATAAAAATACGTTGATCAATAATTCCATTGATATGGATAGTTATAGCAAAATGACGATCAGTCAAACGAGATGATTTAAAAGTAAATTCATCTAAAAAGAGAAAATTGATTTTTCATCATTGTGAATAAAGATCAATCGATTGATGTTTACCATTAGGTTTTAAACAACCTTTGAAAACAGATTTTGTACCCATGGTAGTATAAGATTGAAGGATTAAAACTTCATCAGCATGAGCTTTAAATCTATAAGGACCATTGGATTCAATCGTGGGTGGACCAAGATACAGCATTGTTATCGCACAAGAATTGTTAAAAATATTGATGGGTGGGTTCTAGAACATTCAATCAGTAATTAAGAACGGCAAATATCCGCACTTACATTATTCGATGTTGTCATTGATTAATAATTTATCTAAAATAATGTGAAAAAACTTGCAAGCGTAGCCCCGTAATGTGAAACTCATTTATTATACTCCGCTTATCTATAATTGTAGGGGAGGGGGGACAGAAAAATTTAACTTAAAACTTAAAATCAATATTTTATTTAGTATTAAACGGATAGAACTTGTTTCAACCATAGTTTTTGTCGGACAATTTCTAATTGAGCTTGATTTTCTTTTAATTCCAAATGTTTCTCTGGAACCATTTTCAAGTATTCAACTGATTTTTCTGCACAATCTACTGCATCTTTATATTCACCCAATCGTGCATAAGCAGTAGAAAGATTATAATAAGTAACTGATAATGGATGTGGTAATGGATTGGGTAATTCAAGTTGAAGTTTCAATGTTTTCTTATAATAATCCAAAGCTTCTTTGGCATTTCCTGTATGCCAAAAGCAGCTGGATATTTTCTGAAAGAGTGAAATTAATGGTCTTGTATCACCATCCATCGACATTTTCTCTCGAATTATTACTGCTCGTTTTAAATATTTTATAGCTTCTGTGTAATTCTTTTGATCTATATAAACTGCACTAATATTCGATGAATATGTCGCTACTGCATTCATATCAGGATTGGATGCTTTCAATTGACATTGAAGTGCTATTTCATGAAATTTAATAGCACTTTCATGATGATCATCTTGATAGAACATACTACCAATATTATTGTAACTCGATGATAACATTGAATGATAAGGTGGAAGAAATAAATGAAATGCACGTAAGGATTTAAAGAATTGATAACGTGCTCCTTCATTATCTTTATTCACTACATTGGCATTACCTAAAAGATGATGTGAAGCTGCTAAACTTGCTAATAATGTTCCATCATTTTCGAAAGATTTATCTTGATAGATTAATTCTGTAAGATAATCACATTCCCAATAATGATTTGTTTCCAACAGAAGTTTACTTATTTGTAAAATAACAACTGCTTGTGTTATTTCTTTACGTAAAGGTTCAGTTAATTGTTGAAAATGAGAATCATCTTGTGAAACAGATTCTAAATTCACTGTGTTCGTGCCTTTATCAATAGAAACAATTCGAAAAATAGTATTAAGATTAATTAAAACATCAATTTTACAATCGGATGATCGTAAGTGTTCGATATTTGCTGCACAATTAGATGCAAGTCGAATTGAAAAGACAAGACATTGTTGTTTATCATTATTTTGACTTGGACGTTCCAATGTTGCAGGAAGAAATGAATGAAATATGACTAATCCATTGATATTATTTTGAAATTTTTCAATAATTTCTTGTTCGATATCTAAAATAGTATAGATAGTAATTGGCTCTTTGTTAGCAATTGATTGAATTTGTTTATGAAGAGATTGAATAAAATATCGCATTTTGAATAGTAAATCAATTTCTTGTGTACGAAATGCACGTGATAAAATTTTTGATAAGAAACAATGACGTGTATACCATTGAATACTTTCTATTTCGATAAAAGATTTTTCAAAGTTATCAATTTGATCAAGTTCTTCTTGATTATTAGCATAATGAAGACGACAAAATGTTAGCATATCTTTCTTTAAATCACTTTCATCATCTTGACAGAGAATTGTTTCTTTTAATAATTGACAATAGGTAAATTGTAGATCTGTAGTACTTTCTTTTGATGTGATTTCCATTGGAATCATTCGAGAGGATACATCGGCGAGTGTTTTAATTAAATGATTATGAATTGAGTTAATATCAGGATAAATTCCAATGATTTTATTATAATTATTAATCCATTTAGGTGAATGTATTTCTTTCGATAATAAATAAATGAATTGAATACATTTATGTTGTTGAAGTTCAGGAAGAATAGTTTGAGCTTGATCAAGAGTGATAATAACAATAAGTCTTTCATCTATGATTGTTGTTAGTAATGTTTGTAATGTATTTAGATCATTTAGTGTACGTATAAAATTAACCGTAGAACGAAGAAGATTGAGATCTTGTACCTTATTTTGATCAATATAGAGAATAGTAAAATTTTCAAAATTGCCAATGGATCGAGATGGAATTGTTTTACTTGATTTAGGTTTTGATAGAGCTATAATGATGAAAGTAATATTAGGAGAGAGATTATTCGATGACTATACCTTGTTGCATACTGTCATTGATATATTTAAGTAGAGCAGATTCATCATCATCTGATTTATCTTTTAGAGGTGTCATTTTATGATCAGTTGATGGCTAAAAAATATACCGTAATAAATGTTCCAAATCTGATAATTCTTACTTCAGATGGTTCAACTTTTTTCTTCGATATTTCCAATACTTGAGTAGAAGTAGTCGAAATTTTATTTAATTCTTCTTCTACTTCACTTTCGTCACTCACTGTACTCTAAATAAAGAATTTTCAATCTTTTTCTGATTTAGAACCATCAGTAAATATCTTACCGAATCAACATTCATTTTTTCATCATCCAATTCTTCTAGTGGCAAATCGACACTTTCTCTACATCTGAAATACACGATCAATCTTCTTTTGATATCCGTTTTATTTTCTACTTACTTTGTGCATGATACATATTTTTCAACAGTTTTAATCCAAAATGAACTATCACCATCATCAACTCGACCTCCATGACGATATGGATGTTCACAACATGCCGAAATTGTCGTATCGAGAGAACCATTAATTTCAAGTCTTAGACAAAAACGATCATCTCTTGAACGTTGCGATTTAAAGGTAAATGTATCTAGAGAGAAAAAACAACTTTAATATTCAAAATAAAATCAGTAATTTTACCATTCATCTTAAGAAATCCTTTAAACACAATCCAACTGAAACCATTATTAATTACTTGAAAAATTGTCACTTCGTCACGTCTTGAATTTTGTAAGACAGGTGCTAAAGTTGGATCAAATCGATAACTCATCGTTATTTGACAAGACCAAGATTTGTACAAATTATTTGGTCCAATTACAATACTCTATATATAAAAAGTTTCTAATCTACATAAGAATTCATTCTTACCTGTGGATAGATAAATCCAATTTTCTAATTTAAGAAAGAAATCAAAAATTAAATCGTATTGCATTGAAGAAAATAACTTACATGAGATGAAATTCGATGACGATTTATACCCAATGCGTCACTAGGAAAAATAAATTATGTCAAAGAAGCTGATCTATGGATGATTTACATATTGTTTTCCGATGAAAATTGTCGATGCATCCTGGATAGACCCATTTCAGATGTATCAACATGTGTCTCACTGAAATCTAACAAAGATCTACTTATCAATGTTTCTGATGGTTTGCTTGAACCCATCCTCTTCTTTGCTAATTCCAATTGTAACTGACGCCTAAATATTAAAATAAAGCTCGAGAAACAAGAAAAATATACAAACCAAGTTCCCTGGATCGGTTTTAGTGGATCGAGCTAAAAATTATTTTCTTCATCGATATCCAAAAAAACAAAAAAAAACGCTTACTGTTATTTTGTTATTACTAATAGCAGATGATCGAGGAGTTTTCGGTTTTCGTCGAGTTAATCGAGCTGAATCCATTTATCTAAAATTCAGAGTAGATATTCTTTCAAACAAAAAAAAAACGCTTGATAAAAATAGCAAAAATATATATTAGTTCATGTAGCGGAAAATAAATCTTTCATCCAAAGTTTTTGTTCTAAATGTTGAAGATATTTTCTATGTCCTTGTATTTCTTCGTCATCTTCTTTTTTCGTTAAAAGTAAACGTGTAATCGCTTTTTCCACTGATTCCTTTGCGCCATGTATTTGTCCGAGTTTCTCAAATGCTGTTGCTAAATTAACATAAGTAACTGCAACTGTTGGATTATCAGCTGAATGACATTTAAGTTCAATATCAAGACATTTCTGATAATTACTCAATGCATCGGCATATTGATGAGCTCGATATTGAGCACCAGCAAGATTATGATATTTAACAGCAATATCAGGATGATTATTATTTGGATGAAGTTTTTTTTGAATTTTTAAATCCGTTTCAAAATACCCAATTGCTTCTTTATATTGACCAAGTTTTGTTAAAACTGATGCAATATTTCCGACATACGAAGCAACGGAATCTAGATCAGGATTGGCGGAATTCTTTTGAATTTCATAAGCTTTTCGATGATAATCTAATGCTTTTTCATTAAAACCTTGTTTACGATAAATACTTCCAATATTATTATACGTCGGTGTTAATCGTATATCATCAGGAGATAAAACACGTAAATAAACTCGTAAAGAATTTTCTAAATGATTTAATGCTTGTTCATAGAGTTTTCGCTCATAATAATGCGTTCCTAATGAATGAAGTATTCCTCCAAGTGTTAAATTTACTGTTGGATCTTTCATTGCTTGTGGATCATCGATTAGTAACGATGAAAAATATTCGACATAACCTGTTAATTCTCTTTGTTTGACCAATTTCAACATACGTACTAATGGAAATGGGCCACTAACAGCATCACGTAAATCTTTTGTTAGTAATTGACCAGCTTTAAGAATATCATCATTTGTTGTTAATGTAACTTTAAATGTTTCTTCATCAATTGTTTCGATTTTATCAATACGAAATATAGTTCCGACAGTTAAAAGAATTTCATTGGAAATATCATGTCGAATAACATTTGCTCCTAGAATAATTTCGAAATGAATTAATTTCGATTCTTGATTCATCGGAGACGGTTCAATTGACGATTGATTTTTACTGACTAAAAGAAATTCATTAAATGATAATAATCCTCCTTGATTATTTTTCATTTTCTTAAAAAGTTCTTTTCGAATTCGAACTGTTCGATAAACAATCATATCAACAGATGATTTTAATTGACCATGTAAATGTTGAATAAAATATCGAAGTTTAAATAATATATCCGGATCTAATTCTCGAAATGCTCGTGTCATCATTTTATATAGAAAAGTTTCAGTTCGTAAATACCATTCAACAGCATCAGACGGTTGAAAATTCTTTTCAAATTCATCAATAAATTCTAATTGAATAATATTATCAATATATTCTTCACGACAGAAATTGATCATTTCTTTTTTTAAATCTTGTTTTTCATCTGTTTCTAAGAGAATATCTTTTAATGCTTGAACATAAGTCAATGTACTCATTCCAGTATAATCGGCACTGATAGAACTAATATTTGTTAAATCATAAGTGAATGATAGAAGATCATTTTTCAATTGTTCACAAAAATTATTCATATTGGAAAACGATCCTCGATAAAATTTTGAATCGAATGAATTATTTTCCGATGAATCGATAATATAAATTCCATATAGATATGGTTCATCTTGAATAGGTTTGGATAAATTTTCCATGCTAGTTTTCGAAAGGATTAAAATAACCTTTTCATTCTTAACTTTTTTAAGAAATGCAATCGATTCTTCGGAATTAATATCATCAAATGTAAAACCTAAATTAATTAAACCACGTAACATTTGTTGTTCATCATTGGATATTGAAAGATTTTTTTCCAGAATGTAACAAAAATTTTCGACACTCTTTGGGCGACGTGTCGCTTTCGATGATTGACTTGTCAATCCCATACCTGCAAGTATTTGCATAAGTTGTTGAGTATTGAAGGTATTACCATCGATGGTGAGTGTGTTAGTTTCATTCTTATCGGATTTTTGTTCTAAAAACAAAGATATTTCAATTTGAAAATTTATAATTCTTACCTGATGGTTTTGTTTCTGATTCCGACTGATTAGAATTCACTACTGTTGATGTTTTTGAGTGATGAACATCAGGTACTTCTGATGGTTTCGATTTTTTAGACTTCGAGGTCTGCTTCTGTTGTTGATCACTCACAGATAATGGCATGAGAATGTTATTGGGATGAAAAGATTTTTTGTTTTTCTAAAATAATCGATTTTGATCGAGAAAATACATTTAATGTCAAATTTGTGGCTTACTTGAACTAATAATGTGTTTTTCTCATTATTTGAAAGTAATTTATCAGCACGATCTTTTCGACATCTGAAATAATAAATGAAGAATTGTTGAATGTTCAATTAAAATCAATGTACATACTTTTCACATGGATTTGCTTTTTGAATTTCTTGAAAAATAAACTGTTTCTGATCATCAACATTTGAATTTATTGAAGTGCATTTAAATTCACAACATGCATCCGTGACACTAATGAACTTTCCTTCAACATAGAAAGCTAATGAAAGACTGGATGTTGGCCGTCGTTGGGATTTGAATGAAAATTTTTCTAGAAAATATAAGAGTTTTTTTATTCATCTTACTTCTTGATATTCATAATTACCGCCTTTAGTTAAATAACCACGATAGACTAGTGAAATTTCGCCAGTACTATGTCGTTGCATTACAATAATTTCCTCACGATTGGATGGTTCCTTGTCGATCGGTACATAAGACATTGTTATCTCACATGCTATACGTTCTTCGATAGATAAATTTATCTAGAATAAAAGATTCTCGTGATTAATAGCAAAAAATTAAATAATTTACGCTTTCAGTTTGAACATCTTGTTCATTTATTCTCGTTGAATTAATTTGTGTCGATCGTTCATCATTAACCTCATTATTCTGAGTGAGAGGATGTGCGGACGTAATTCTCAATGAACGAAGACGGCTAGAATTGATTGGTCTTAAATTTCAATTCATAGATGAAAAAAATACCATGTGTGAAAAAAAAAATTACCTTGGAGAAATATTATGTGTTGTTATTCTTTGTTCTCGTTGTTGACTTTCACCAGTTGGTTGAATTTTAGGAATAGTCTAAATATAAATACACCGTAAATTTAATTTTATAAAAAAAATGAAACAATGTTTTTACCCCAATGACTGATTGTAAGCGAGATTGTGCAAAGGGAGAACTAGCTATTTTCGGATTTAACCACTGTTTCAATGGTCTGAAAAAGATTTTATTTTTATTCAACACAAAAATATTCTATTTCGTATGTCACATACTTTGTCACAGATCGATCAACCATCGTACATTAAGTCAAAAAATGCGTTTTGTTCTTTGTTCTTTGTTCTTTTTAAATGACTCGCGGAATAGTTTGTTGAAAAGACGACAAATTTCTTTTTTTTCCTCGATAAGAGAACGACGATGATGCCGTGGAAACCACCTGAATTTTTTTTTTCTTTCTGTTATTCAGAATGGAATGTGGTTGAGACTCGATGGGTGAGGGTGAGATAAAGGATATACACTCTTACTCATATCCACATCTACAGCAACCATCAATTCTCTTTCTTCCGAGCTACTTCTTAGAAGAAAAGTAATGAAATTGGTTATTATGCATCAAAAATGCTTTTATAGATTCTTCGTAGTTAAAAAAATTACTCATATTAGAAACATATTTTTTACAAAATCATTTAAGAAAAATTTTGTCAAATTTATTTTTATCACATTTTCGTGTCTCTGCACAGCTTCCACGCACACTTAGGCATAGGTGCAGTTCATGTGTTTTGTCCATACAAAGTCAAGTTTTTCTGGGTTTAAATCGTATCGATCGGTAAGTTGAAGTAAATCGTTTACAATTGTTACGTTTAGTGTTGATCGACGAGATAGAATGTGGACGCAATAATTGGTAAAGCCAAACTGCTCTACACAATCATACTCAACACTATATTCACTGGTTCGTAATACAATTATGTTGTAGGCAACAGGTACAGTCACAGGATGAATTGTTTCGTTATAACGACCATCTGCTGGTTTTTTCGTGCTGGTCAATGTTCCATTGGCTATGATTAGTTTACCATCGACTGTTTTCTTATTGCAAATATTAGAAACAATGACAACTGATGGATCTTCAGCACCTTTATTAACATCAAGATGAGTGCATACACAGTCTCTTTCAAAGAAAGCACCGCCAGCTGTTTGGATTTTACCGATTTCAAACCAGCGACCAGTGTACTATTGATAAACAATACGTCATCATTAACATATCAGTTACATGAGATGAAAGAAAAATTACCTGTTCAATCGTATAACCAGTTGCTGGTGGTGGTATTCGACATGGTGCATCTGGCCAGGCATTGGCTAATGTAATAAAAAACACGTTGAGTAAATGAAGAAAATGCATTTTGACTCTTTATGTTGTTTGCTAGGCTTTTTATATCAATTAAGAAGCGAATGACAAGATAACTACACAGGTAAGCGTTATATAAGCGATGACTACGTCATTTAGTTACCTTTGAGTTATATAAGATGTTGTGTAACAGAAATGTAAAATGATAAACTGATATACGCTCCTTCAAATGTTGATAGCTTCATTACTTTTTACTTTCATATGAGAGGATGCAGATGTGGATGAGAACGTGTTAGTGTGTGAATGAGTATATGCGTGGGGTAGATCTGGAGTAGGGCCTGATTGTTCAATCTATCTACCGTAACCTACATCCTCACACCCACACTCACACACCGACACGCGCACGCACGATCCACCCACCAGCACATCTACATCTACACCATCTCACCCTTATGTAAAATCATATTTTAAATCAGGAGTTTTTGTAGTTTTACAAGACTCAGTTGTTGTCTAAAGAGAATACCAGATTAAAATAATGAAAAGAAAACATTTATTTTATTTATTCGTGCGAGAATTAATAGTTTTTAGTCGAAAATAGAATTATGTGTTGTAAGAATTAGGAAAAATAAAAAACAAACGAAGTTTTGTAGAACGAATGGAAAGCACAAGTGTATTTGTGAGTCTATTATTACCATGGTGCATCAATCTCTTTTAAACTAATTAAATACATCTCATGTGCGGGTTCAAACACACTGGTAACCTCATAGTAAAATCCTGGCATTAACATCACTTCTTTTTCATCCGGAAACTGAGAGTACTGGCCAATATCTTTTCCATTTTTACACTCAACTGTAAAAACTGTACGTGGGCCGGTTTTTTGTATGTAGCTCTCCAGTATTTGCGGATCCATAGCCATAGATGATACCCCCCACCAGACGCCACGCTCTCCTCTTTTATACTGATCTCTTAGGTTCTGTTTCACGGCATGCCAAACTACTCCTTGAAAGCTTGGTAATTTGTGTAATGCCGTCATAAATATTTTTAAATACGGAAGCCATGGTTTAATTTCAGATCTCTGCTCGCCACGTAACGCTTTGTTCAGCTGTGTGTAGAGAGACGCTTCTCCGAATTCAGTGGTATAGAGCATAATTGAAGCCGACTCATCATGTGTCAATCCATCAGGAGAGGATTTTTTAGCATGGTCTTTGGCTATTTTTATATGATACTGTAGATCTTCCATGATGGATTCAACTGGCTTCAAAGCTTCTTCCAATGGCAATAACATCTGCTTTTCATAACCGCTTATAGGCGTGTTTACAGGTGGTGGTGCCTTATTATTATTAGAGTATTTTTGTCTAAAATGAAAATAGATTCTGATAAACAATGAACATATAATGATATTTTTAACAGTGAAAACTTACGTCTGTATTATCTTCTCCTGTTCAACTTCGTTAATCAGTTCATTTTGATTAGTGAGAATGCCTTTCACCTAGAACATAAAATATTAAGTTTGAATGTACATTCCAGTACTTAGTATGCATAGACGATTTGATCGCTCCTTCTCACTTTGCATTAGAGAACTTCTTTGATTGAAATTTTTCTAAGATGTATCAGAAAGTCCTTATCTCCTTATTCAATGATACAAAGAATTTCATAAGCTTTTCTCCCAAGATGCCTTCTATTTCTCAATCTAACTGTAGTCTTCAACTAGGTTTTAACTTATCAAATAAGTGTAAGTTAATCCCTATAGCCATTACATAGACAGTCAACAAGAAAAATTAACGACATACATCTATAGTACATTTTTGTGCTCTAGAGGGTGGGTGTAGTTGTGGGTGAGGGTGTGGATGTGAACATTCGATACTAATACTCACCCACACTCACGCACACGCCCATACCCCCTCAAAATACTTCTTCCCCAATATGTATGGGTAAATTTAAGAGTTTATTATAGTTTAACATACTAACTTTTGAGTAATTGTCTGCCCACTTTTTATTTCTTTCTTTGTCCATACAATAAACAAATACCGATGTTAATGATGTTGAATTATGTATTTTAGGTAAAATCTGCTGTCCCATTTGTCCACTAACGATAAGCATTATTTTATCGGTTTCTTTTTGTTTAATAAAAAATTCACATTGTTCCTCCTTCTCGAATGCTTCAAAGTCACCATCAAACAATTTGCGCAACTTTTCTTGTGTTTTCACATTTTCTTGTGGTTTGTTGACATTTGGATCCAACCAAAATAAGTAGAAGATGGAAGCATTTTTAGGTATATGACCTGGCATTGCAACAGAACTTGCTATTGCATTCATTTCTGCAGGGCTAAGTTCAACTTCTTGGCAAGCAACTATATGTAAGTTGTCTGCAGGATTCGATTGAGATATCACTCGTATACATGTACCTGGTGGCAGAATCAATTCGTTTTCTTTCACATAATGTGAATGATTTTTTATTGGCTTGCCGTTATAACATTTGATATTAAATAGTGTTCGATGCTTTTTTTTATCAAGAAAAGTATCAGTGATAGCTACGTGGTCTGTACATGAACTAGCAGCATGCCAAATATGTACGGATCCTGATTGATATTGAGCGCTTAAATCGGCAGTAACACCACGCCATACACTATCCTGAACTGATGGTAACTTATTCAGTGCAGACATAAATAAATGGTAATAATCGGAGAAAGGAATTGATTTATTGCGATCTTCATTACGCAATGCACCATTAAATGTATCATAAAATGGTCCCGGAAGTGAGTATAAATACAAAGCCGCAGATTGTTCTTGTGTTAGTCCATCTTTCGGAGATGTACATTTTTTCAATGAAAACGCCACTTTATTTAAAAGATCTTCTATTAAATTCAAACTAATGATGGGCTTCACACATTCCCTTAGCGGCAGTAATCCTTTACTACCAGTATCAAGTATCGGTAAAGGAGGTAAGAATACATCGGGCTCTTCGTCCACGTCAGTATAACGGTATCGATCATCGAGAGAACGGACTTCATCATTCGACATATTATTGGTCACTTAAAATAGATGAAAATGATGTCAAATTTAATTTTTTGTGTCGAAATTGCTAAACCGATCACGCAAAATACTATCTCACGCACGCTTTTTTAATGAAGAGATAGATATTTAAAGTGCACAGGGTGGTTGTGGGTGTATATAATATATTCATTCCTCCCATTCCACATCCTCGAACGGAACGTTTCTTGTTTCTTGTATAGTTTTTGTTATATCTTCTTTTTGTAAAATACAAATATTTCTGTTATATGAAACTCTTATCGATACCTTTTTTTGAATTATGCTTGTATAATTTTTTTTCGAAATTTTTGCCTTTCTCGATCTAAATTTTTCTAGTTTTTTTTTTTCAAAATTTTTTTATTTCCATCTCTAGACTTTTATTCTCTAGATTTCATAACGTATTCTCGGGCACGCCTCGACTCAGGCTGAAATCGATTTTTACTCACGTTTTTTGTTTGATAAAAACTTGTTTTCTACTTTCTGATAGAAAAATTGTGACTGTTTATGAAACCGCTAGAGAAAAAAAACGAGAAACAACAGATTGGTTGGCCGTGTTAACAATGACTGAATGCATGACAACGCGCGCAAAGTGAAGAAATAGACAGATATATTCATCGTCAGGAAAAAGAAAACTAGTGCAATTAAAAATAAATGTAACAGAAAGAAAGAAAACTAGAAGACAAAAGAAAAAATAGAATGTCGTGTGGAAAATTTTCTTTGTTGCTTTTCGGCAGTTGCACTATTTTTATGTTCTTCACTGTCTATCCATTCCGGAAAAATAGGAATAAAGAAAAAAAAAATTGCGTAAAAACCGAACGATGATACAATCATAAATGCGATGCAATCTTTTTTTTATTAGCAAAACAATGGCTATCTCTGTGATCGTTACAGTTTATAGATTTAAAACAGTAAGAAATGGAGATTTCTGTTGTGACGAATAACGATCCGTTAGTTGAGAGTGTGGGTGTGGATGCATGAGGATAATGTATGAGAAAAGTACGCCCACCCACACCCATCCCTTTTCGTTCTTTATTCTCGCTCCTTTTCGTTCTTTATTCTCGTTCCTTTTGTAAAACAAGAATCATCCTTCTCTTCACAATATTCACTTTTCAAATACTCAACCATACCAGTAGAACGTGAGGAAATAAAAGAGGATCAGTATTCTTCATGGCAAGAGATATATCTTGCCACAACAGTTTTGCAAAGAACAACAAAATTTTACGAATTAAAAACAACACCCTGTGGCATAGCAAGTAGTGTTGGGTCTCGACGCAGATATTAATGTATTACATGCCGACATCCACATCCACATCCACATCCACATCCACACCCTCATTCACTCATCTACATCCATGCAAACCCACACTCAACCACGTCCACACTCACATCAGCACTCATTCCAATGACTATCCACAATTTCATTGACACAGTAAAGAAAAAAAGATACGTAGGAGATGTGAAAATTCGTGTAAATTAATTTATTTTTAATAAGGTAAACTATGATCGTCTACAAACTCTATCCAAATACATCCCTATTCTCTCTGATGAAATCTTCAACACTCTTCAAATTCAAGTCATATTCTTTCTTCAATGCTTTAACATCAACCACAAATTTGCTGTTCTCAATCCATTGTATCATTAGACGAGTTGATTCATCTCTTACATCCATTTTCACATATTTCATTGGTCGTTCAAGCACCTTACTGAACGTTTCACACAGTTGATTTCCGTTCATTGTGTCACCAGCCAATTCAATCGATTGATGGTTGTACTTTTCGGGATTCAGAAATGCTTGTGCTAGCAAAAGAACGATAAAGGAAAATTACAGCACCTTGCTAAAATCCAAGAACGACGAGTTCTTACCCGCAACCTTTCCAATATCTTCACATGCGATATGGTTCACAATTGTCTGAGGATCAGTAAAAAAGCAAACCTTTTCTTTATCATGACGAGTAGCGAAAAAAAGATTTTCCATAAATGAAAAAGGTCGTAGAATTGTATAATATTTAATGGAGGATTGTTTGAGATATTCTTCGATGAGAAATTTGCTGTGAAAGTGTGGAACATTAGGTGCATCGTGTGCTCGACAAACACTAAATAGAAAATAGAAAGAAATTTATCTATATCTAATATTACGTAACATAATTAATTAATTGTCGAGCTCACCTTGAGTACACAACTTGTTTAACACCTGCTTTTTCAGCTGCATTGATGATCTTACATCCCTGTTCCACTTCTTTATCAGAGATGGCTTGTGCGATAAAAAGACCATCGGCACCTATGAATTCAAAAAAAATTGTTTGATTTATAGTATTAAATATAAGCTTACCTTGGAATACATTTGCTAACTGATCGACAGTCGCTTCATCTAGATCTGTTTGCACTAATTCAACTTCACGTTCTTTCAATTCTAGAGCTTTTTTCGACTGTAGATTACGTGTGAGTGTGAGCAAATGAAGTGATGATGTAGATTTCGATGGCAGGAGAGCAGTAATTACAGCTGAACCTTGTTTTCCAGTGCCGCCGATGATAATGATTTTACGTTTGGTTTGCTGCGGTAACATTTTTTTTCTTGCTTATGAAACAACGTTTATTATAATATGTTTTTAGTATTTCTTCTATTTACATTTACTCTTATATGCTACACATGCACATGTATTTTTCATTTTTCAATTATAGGTGAAGAAAAAGAAAAGAAAAGAAAAAAAAAGACAGTGGCGTGTTGTAAGAACGTGACACGTTCTACCAAAAAGGATGAAACGCAAAACATATTATTTCTATTTGTCAATGCGCATATGGCCTTCAAACGAAGTATTACGAAAAAATAAATGTTATACAAAATTATAAAATTTTCGACACATAGACTATCAGCTGGGACATCGTTATCGAAGTTTTTCGTTGTAATCTAACAATTGTTTCAGAATAGAAGAAAAATACTATAATGAATATGAAAAGTAATCTTCATTCTGAATGGGTAACAATTCACAAAATTTCAGCTGAAATAATATCGACACATCCAATCAGATTGAGAATAGTTCACAAATAAAATCTCATAAGGAGTGAGCGTGTGTACTCTATCTCACCGACACCCTCAAGATCATTTTAGCAAGCACTAATCATGTTATCATAATTCAAATTTTTTGTTTGGTTTCTTTTGAATTAATAATAATTTGGTTTTCTCATCCTTTCACAATATTCCTTCATCGATCATTCCAAAGGACTCTAATGACATACTGTATTGCCTTGTATGGGGCATTGCAAAAAAAATTTCATTTGAAACCATAAACGAAATGTTGTTGATATATACAATGGATAATTATATTGACAATTCTATCTTCAGCATTCTAATCAGCTAGCGAAGAATATTATTACAGTGAAAGAAATAAAAAGCAAACAATGCACACCAGTTGCAAGTATGGTGAGAAGTCCGAATAATTTTAACAATCAACACTTTCTGTAGATGTGTTAATCAGAGAGTGTCTGAGTAGCACAACGAATAGCATTCAGTGGTTTACTAGAAATGGCAGAGCATGTTGTACGTGTTAGCGAAATATCAGTCATTCGAGTAAAACCAGTTAATAGTTCGAGAAAACGGACTGCATTTCCAGACGAAGCAAATAAACCGAGTGTCCGTCCAGTCCGAAAGAAATCGGTAAGTTTTTATGAAAATCATTATCTATCTGTTTGTATTATGCAGTTGACGAGCACAAAACACGACAAGACACGAATCTCTTATCCAATTTCTCGAGTCTCAAAAGTATCGCGACAACATTGTTCACCGTCACAAGTGGATGTGACAAACGAGATCGTAACTCGATCTAAAGCTGCCAATCTACCAAAGGTTTTCAGTGTCGAAAAATCCAAGAAACAAACAGAAGATGTAATTCATGCGGCAGCTGACTCCGTCTACAATTTAGTGAGTTATATAATGAAATAGAACTACATATAAAAAACAAGTAACGCTCGTCCGTGGATTCGCTCAGCTCTTTCTCGTAGAAATGCATCCTCTTCACTTTTACTGAAAAAACAATTGAAAACAGTGAAAAATAGATTTTCGATGTTCTTTTGACCTTTCACCCACACCCATCTTCTTCACCCCGCTCCTAACTATGGTCACTCAATAGACCTCAAATTCGAAGTCCCCCGCATCGAAATACCTCTGAAAATGTCTTTTTCGAAAAATCAGACAATTTATGTTTACTGGACTCTTCTCTACGAGAAAGATTATAACAATTTTGTTTTTATAGTCGCATCTTGCACAGAACAGACAACATGAAGGCAATAACGAACAATTGCGACGTATCATCGCTCCTCAAATATTTTCATCATCGTATAAGAGATTGAATGTGGGTGTAATGGGCAACGACATAGATTCGTTGGCATCTATCAGCTATAACAAATCAACAAAGGGCAATGTAAAAAGCATTTCTTATTACTAAAATATTTTAGTAATTGTTTTATTCAGGATAAAAAAAATAAGTATATAGATTTTTCGGTAAGTTTAACAATGCGTAGCGAGTTTTTCGAATAAGAATTGATCATTGATTAGACAAATGAATGGTCAAATCAATCAAAAGCGACGGATGTACTTGAAAAATCGAAAAAAAAGGAACGAAATCGGCGCAAGTTCGTCTTTTTCTATTCTTTTATTGATATTCGATTGATGTGTTCTTTCAGAAGGAAGTGTTGCGGCTATTTACTGTGTTCGCCATGTTGTATTTTATTGTCCATTATTGGAACAATTCTTCTACTGGCTGGACTTGCAAGCCTTCTGATAGCTTTATTAAATTCTCATGAACAAGAAGGAACATCAACCAGTGAGTCTATAACTTTTCACCATTTGATCTACAAACTAGTGATTAATAATTGGGTTTGCTTGATGAGATGAAACATTAGCTTTCGTTAGTTTTAGAGAGTAATAATTAAATACACAAAAGCTATAATTCTGTTTTTGTGCATCCGTGACTTTCAGACAAATCTACCGTAGTGTAGCATTTGCCGCTGCAAATGATAGATCTTTCACATTTTAGTTCTAAGCGCGTATATGATGTTAAGTTTTTTATTAATTATATGAATGGAAATTGTCTCCAATAGTGACAACTACTTCAACATCGTCCATCACGGGTAAGTTTCAAGATTATTGTGTTATATATAGTAAGAAATGTACTACCATCATTACTCACAGCTTCTACAACAACAGAGACAACTACAAGTAAGTTTCAAAATTATAAAATTCTATACTGAGAAATATAATACTACTACTACTAGCAACCAAAACGACAAGTACAGCAACATGTAAGTACGAAGATATTCTATACATTCAAAAAAAAATGATGATGATATTTCTAAGCTACAACAACAACTTTGCCCATATGTAACACTACTTGTCTCAATCAAACTTGGTTATCTGTAGGGTCACTCTTGGGTAAATGGCATTTTGAAAACGACTATTCTGATGAGACGACTATGCATAATGGCACTCCAACAGGTAGCCCTAGTCTTGTATTCGTCCAAGGGTACGTTGGTCAAGCTATTTCGTTCGCTGCTAATTCTAGTCAAGTAGTGACGACTTCATACATTCCTTTGGCAAATACAAGCTTTTCCGTAGATGCATGGATTTATCCAACTGGTCTGACTAACATATTACATCAGAGTATTTGCGGTATCTGCCCTGCAAAGGTAAACGATCAATGCCTGCATATGACACTTCGTCATACCGGCTCGTATTACTCACTTTACTTTGGTCTTTATGGTGATGATGTTAACAGCAATACAGCGGTTTTGGCTAATAATTGGGAGCATGCAGCTTTCGTATTTGAGGCCACAACGCGAACATTGTTTATCTATCGTAACGGGATTCTTCTGGCAACAGGTGCGACCAGTTCAGTGTTGAAAGTGACCAGTGGTAGCTTTCAGATTGGCAATCTTCCTTATTTGGAATCAACTTTCAATACATTTCAGGTATATAATTATTAGCTATATTCTGCGCTAGTAAGCATTTCAGATTTTCTTTGATTCTTTTCAATACTAAGTTTAACAGAATTAAAATATGAATACTTTCCATAATTGCAGGGTTACATTGACGAGTTGTCCGTTAGTGGTCGAGTAAAGTCTGCATGTGAAATTTTGGAACAGGCCACCTTAGCGGCTCGCTTCAGCTTCGATGGAAGTTCACCACTAGTTGATCTGGGACCAAATACAGTCTCATCTCTCGCTTCAAATTATAGTCTGGTTAGTGGTCGAACTCTACAAGCTATTTCATTCATGGGTACCTCCTCGTCATTCTTCCAAGCATCGGGCTTTCTTGCTCTCGGCATAGCCAATCAACCATTTAGTATTTCGCTATGGGTGCAACCACAATTACTTGCGGGTACAATCATGCACGTATCAACCAATAGCTCGGGCACTGGTTTTTGTGCTCCTTTTATCGGTTTTGCATCAAATGGTTCATTAATAGTTCAACTAATGACAAATACTAGCTACGCGGCTATATCGTATTCAAGTCTGTCACTGACCGATTTTACTCACATTGTTCAGACGTGGAGTTCAACAAATGGACTTAGACTATATATCAATAATGTTTTAGTTGGATCAATAGCAGCGACAACTTATCAGACTGTTTCGAGTTGGATTAATTACGTGACACTAGGCAGCTGTTTGAACGGCTGTGTAAGCTGCTCCGCAGTTCCAGGCAATCAAGTATTGCCAGGTTCATTTGCAGGTGCTATAGATGACTTTCGAGTATACAGTCGTGAAGTGACAGCAAGTGATGTATGCACCTTATTCGCGTATAGTTGAAACTTATAAACTAATTCATAAAGACTATGACTAGACGTTCTCAATTGATGTTCTTCAATTTTACTGATTTTAATATGTAGTTACAGAAACAAAAAAAGAATAGACAGTACCCACACCCACACCCACACCCTTGAAGGTTTAAATGTTGAATTGATCCATTTCTATAGAAAGTTCCTCAATTTTTAATTCTATAGACCATCGACGATGCGTAGCTAATGGACATTGTTCATAAATGACTAATGCTCGTTTATAATAATCAAGTGCCAATTTACGTTGATTAAGATGTTCATAACATAAACCTATATTATTTAAACTTTTACCAATATCTTGATGATTGGGTGGTAGAACTTTTTCACGCATTAACAAACAGTTTAATTCGTATGCCAGAGAACTTTCATATTCGAGTCGAATTTGTTGTATATCACTTAAACTCATAAGAAATTCATCGATAGTTAACTGTCCTGGAATAGAATTGACTTCATCAATTCTTAAGCATTGTTCATAAAATTCAATTGCATGATCATAAGATTGTTTCTGATAATGAATAAATGCAATCCATTTTAGACTAAAGATTATTCGACTATAATCAGTAGCATAAATTTCTCTGAGTACATTGACTGCTCGCTGATAATAATTTAGAGCTTCATCAAAATCTCTCTCACTATTATATTTGATACTACCAAGGCTCATAAGAGTGAATGGAATATCTGCTTTAACATGTGCAGGATTTGTCTCATAAATTGTCAAAGCTTCTTGAAACAAATCG